TCGACGACGCCAATACGCTCTCAAGAAGCTCCACAAGCCATGGTGGTCCGCCTGGTTCACGTTGTTCAGAAGGAAGTGACGCCAGCTCGCTGGGCAGGGGAGAACGGACATTTTTGACTTCGGTGAGTTAGTCATCCCCTCCTTTGTGCTTTTCTCCCTGCTTTGGCTTCCGAATCCCCGTACCACCTTGCATCCATTTGACCTTTTGCGCTCGGCTGACTGCCGTCGTCTGTTACTCAGGTTCTGATTCCACAACACTGGCAAACCCCAACTCTCCCGACTTCCATGATTGCATCGTCTTTCGCGTCCACCATTTGCACCCCTTCGTGCATCGGCCCGCGAAGGGGATATTGCCATGGTGGAATCTGCCCAGCTAAGGCGCCTCTACAGAGCTCGTGGATCCAGCATCACCTCTTCGCCAGCAGCCACGGCAAGTCCCTCACATAGAGCACTGCCGTCGCTGATCATAAGCGCAAGTTGAGTCGGAGAGCTGGAGAGTGGGGAAAACTGCTTCGGTAAGTCATCAGCCTTGCATTACTTATTCATTCGGTATACCGTTCTCCCTTCACCGGCTTCTGAATTCCTCGTCACCTTGCATCTATCTGGTCTTTTGCCTGGCTGACCGACCCCCTTCGTTACTTAGGTTCTAGTACCACAACACCAGTGCAATCCCCAGCTAGTGATCGCACTGTCTTTCGCCCATCACCATGATTCGCACAACTTGCCCGCTTGCACCCCTTCGTGCGTCGACTCGCGAAGAAGGTACAACAAGTACCAAGCTCGTGGATTCGGTCTTCGCCAGCTCACATATATCGATCGTCTGATAGGGTGCGCCCAGCGTGGTTGTTTGGCTATCCTTTTCCACCGGACCCCAGAGACGCTTGATAACCTTCTCATCGACGACCCACTCCGTCCTTTGCGATGTCTCAAGTCGAGCAAAGAGTAGAATCAATGTCGATCTGGGCCTCGCCCTGACCTCTACCTACTATTTGAAATTGCCTCTACGTGGTCAACTGTCTTCTTATTTCTTCCAGGCGTTTCCACCCTACTAGCCCAATCCCATTTCGTAGTACAAGCAATTATCATATCAAGTCTCTCGTTGATGTTGGACTCAGGCATAGATACTGCATACATTCACTTTCCGATACCATGTCATCTTCTAGATACGCCTTCATTTCTACTAGAAGAGCCTCTGAATTCAAATTATGTCCCTCGACCGTGGCAGACCTATCACTAAAGTTCTTGTATTGACGATGCGGACCGCGACGCTCGTGTTTTTCAGCCAGGTGGTGGAGTCCACAGCGTGCCATGGGAGGATCTCTGTCTATCGTCAACTTGACGACTCTGCAGCTGGTCCAGGTGCGATTGGAGCTGTTCATGACATCCGACTGTTGACCCGAATGCAGCGTGCAGTCGTCGCAATATTTGGTCAGTCAGCTCTGCTGTCTTCTCTGTCTCGCCATTCCGCACCTAGGCTCTACAA